AAAAAAAAAAAAAAAAAATTTCAGTTAAAAACAGTTCTATCTTGTACCTCACACTCTATTATATCTACTATAGTAATTTAAGTAATAAACCAAAAACCAAACTCACTGCCATCAAGTCGATCCGACTCATAGCAACTTCTCCTTGGGTTTCCGAGGTGGTGTCTGTAAGGAAGTAGATTGCCCCATTTTCCTTCCGAGGAGTGGCTGGTGGTTTGAACCAGGTCAGCAGTCAAATGCCTTAGGCGCTACACCACCACAAAATTAAAGTAACACAAAACCATAAAATTTATTTCTCCCTTATTTTGAACTGTTAATCAGCTAAATTTAAAAGACTTTTTTTTCTATAAAGCAAACTGAAGGAGAATTTTTTTTAAAAGGTGTGTTGTTGTTGTTATGTGCCATCGAGTCAGACCCGACTCATAGCGACCCCTCCTTGGGTTTCCGAGGCAGTATCACTACGGATAAAAAGTAGATTGCCCCCATCTTCCTTCCGAGGAGTGGCTGGTGGGTTTGAACCGCCAGCCTTCTGGTTAGCAGTCAAGTGCTTCAGGCACTATGCTACCAGAGCTCCTTTTAATGGTGTAAATTAGTCAAGTTTCAGAGGTAAGAGAATTTTTAAGTTCTATTTGAATTCAAAATTTGAGTTCAAATTTTAGATTTTCAAATAGAACTGCCTTTCCTGATTCTTACAAAAATGATAAATAAGAGTACAAAATGATGGTAAAGTCAATTCACCAATTCATTTTGTCCAGGAAAATTTCCCAAGACAACTACTCAGAGAAGGAAAATAGGGTACAAAATTCTCCATAGCCCTTTCAGGTTTGAATTAGATTACATTTTTTATGTAACATACAATCTGTTTACTTTGGCAGTTTGACATCTCTGATGTAGTACGCTGCATGAGACTACAAAGACATGGAATGGTTCAAACTGAGGTGAGTCTTGATTGGTGCCTTCTGATGAAGATTTTATAAACATTTTAATGTTTTAAAAGTTTGTGTTAAACCATTTTTCTCTTTTGGGAGGGTTCCCATATTCTGAAAAAATTAAAATGTTTTTGGACTATCTTTTCACAATATTTTTATTTTTTTAGAAAATTAGGAAATACAATATCTTCTCTGAATAGATGAGATGACTAATGTAGGGAATAGATGGCATGTTGAGAGCAGAGATGGGAGGTGGGACGTGCTACCACGTTAGTGGTGCTCCTTCTCCATTTTCAAACAAAGATGCACCTTGGGTGGCACAAATGGTTTGCACTCAATTACTAACCTAAAGGTGAGTGGTTCAAACCCGCATAAAAATTTCCTGCAAATGAATGGATTCAGCAGCACTGACTGAAAGACAAGCTGGAATTGCTTAGCTTGGAGAAGGTACCTAGAAAGAGTGGGGGGCGTGGGTGCAGATCCGTTTATTCTCTTATTTGATTATTTGTATTTCTCTTACCTGAAATCAAACCATGGATTAGGTCACTCAGTGACTTACAGAATTGTATCCTTTACAGGAACTGCATTACTTTGCATATCTGTCTTCACTGAGTAGTCTATTATCCTTTCTGTTTGTGTGTGTTGGGGGGGTGGAGGAATGTGGAAGCTATTGTCACATATGTATAAATTCACATTTCTCTTTATCTCAAAAATTAGAATTTGCTATTTTCCTTCCTGTCTTAGTTATCCGGTGCTGCTATAACAGAAATACCACAAGTGGATGGCTTTAACAAACACATTTATTCTCTCACAGTTTAGGGAGCTATAAGTCCAAATTCAGGTCACCAGATATAGGAGAAGGCTTTCTTTCTCTGTCAGCTCTGGAGGAAGGTCCTTGTATCCTTTCAACATCTGTGGACCTCAAAGGAGGTGTACATGTATCTTGGCATCAGTCTTCCCTGGGTCTAGGAGGTTCTCGGTGCAGAGACCCTAGGTCCAAAGGACCCACTCCACTCCCAGCTCTTCTTTCTTAAGGATACTGAGGTCCCTCTTCTCTGCTCACTTCATTCTTTTTATCTATTGGAAGATAAAAGGTGGTGCAGACCATAGCCCAGGGAAACCACTCATCTCGAATTAGGATTATGACCTGGGTAAGGGTGTTGCAGCCCACCCTTCTCACCTTACAACTGATTGGCTGATCACATCAAATCACTTCGTGGGGGACAATTACATCATTACATAACTGCCAAGGGAATCATGGTCCAGCCAAGTTAACATATTTTGGGGGCACACAATTCAGTCCATGACATCTTCATATATTTTTTTATTCTAATTGAAAAACTCACTGCTGTCGAGTCGATCCAGACTTATAGTGACCCCTCCATGGGTTTCCGAGGTGGTATTCTCTATGGAAGTAGATTGCCCACTCTTCCTTCTGAGGAGTGGCTGGTGGATTTGAACCACCAACCTTCTGGTTAGCAGTTAAACGCCTTAGACATTACACCACCAGAGCATCTAATTAAGTCTTTTAAATACTAAGCTTATTTATACTCCTATTTTTTGAGGTAAAGAAAACATTGATCTATATAAAGAGTGCTTTAGGCCCAGATAGTTCATTCACTCATTTATTCATTCAACAGATACTATCTACTTCATGCCAGGTACTCCTGTAGGTACTTGGAGCACATCAGTGAATGAAACAAAGATCCCTGGTCTAGAAAATTTATATCCTAACAGGGTGGTTATGAGGAGGGCAGGTAATAAACTCATTAAATGAGCACATTCTGTAGGATCTTTGAAAGTGATAAATGCCTTGGAGAAAAAGAGTAGGGTACATGGATAAGTAACAGAAAATTGGGGTGCTATTGACATAGAAAGGTGCCACTGAGAAAAGTAACCCTGGAGCAAATATATGAAGGAGATGAAGGAGGGAGTCATGGGATATCTGGGGCAGGAGCCTTTCAGGCAGAGTGGACCATCTGGTGGAAGTCCAAGGTGGGAGTGTCTTGTGTGCACTCAGGAATGGTCAAGGCCAGTGTGACTGGGCTGGAGCTAGGGAGGAGAGAGAGGAGGGAAGAGGCCAAGGTTTGGGAAGTGTTCCTGTATTTCTTACCCTGAGCACATGTTCACAGGTGTCCATGCTCTCTCACACACACATGCACTATTTTCAATGAAATCCAACGGTAGTTAATTTTTTTTAACCCTATGTACAATTCTATATCTTGCTTCCTACATTCATCACAAAATAAAATTTTTCCATATTTTTGAAATTCCCCAAATGAGACTTCCAATCCTGGTATAGCGATTTAATGATCACATTATGTATTTAAAATCTTCTTTCCTTTTTTCTTTCTGCCATAGGATCAGTATATTTTTTGCTATCAAGTTATCCTTTACGTTCTGACACGTCTTCAAGCTGAAGAAGAGCATCGGCAGACTCTGAAATGACATGAAAAGAGCAGCCTTCCAGAAGCCGTCTCATTTCCCTCCTAAATCTCCAAAGACTCTGCTGCTTTCGACGTATAATAAAGAAGGCGGGGCAAGTCCTCCCCATACCATTGTACTTGTTCTCCTCTTCCTTAGAGGGGCAATCTTCGTAACAAAGAATAATGTTGAAATGCTGTATTTTTACAGCTCCTTTAACCTATGATAATTATTAAAAATTGTTTAACACTAACTGAACAAGGCAGTTTATTCAACTGCTTTTTGGTGTAGAGACCTTAGGGATGAATTAAGACAGCATGTGATCATAGTAGTCATTGTTACGAGGACACTCTGAGTCTATTTTTAATGCACCAATCTTGTTTATAGCAAAATTCTTTTTCAGTATTTTAATAAAGTAGAGTGATTTTATAGGGGATACTTGAAACCAGTATTTAAGCTTTAAGTGACAATAATATTGGCATAGAAAAAAGTAGCAAATATTTACTGTATCAATTTCTAATGTTTACTATATAGAATTTCCTGTAATATATTTATATACTTTTTCATGAAAGTGGAATTATTGGATATCTGTTTGTAACCGATGCGTCATCTCACTTTGTAAATAAAAATACACTTTAAAACATGAGCAAGCCACAAATGTATGCACACAAATCTTTCATTGTGTTATTTGTTTTAAATCTCCCCCCTCCACCACCTCAAAGTGGAAAATGTATCAAAACTTTACCCCTGTGCAGGATGCCAGCATTTTTCTCAACATCTGTGCCCCTTTGAAGGCAGGGACCTCTAGACCAACTTCCCATCTTCCCCGCGAGTCTTAGTCCTGCCAACCACAGGGACCAGGACTGTTGTCAGAAACCCTGCAGGTCTTCCTCAGGGTCTGGTGTGAGGGTTATGTACTGGCTAAAACTAGTTCAGTTCAGAGTCAGTGTCCCTTCCTTCTGCCCCTATAAGTGGTGCCAGCTTACTGTGCCTAGCTGACATGTAAATCAAAAATGTTCTCAAAACCTGGTCACAGTAATGCTGAGACTATCTCAGGTGATCAAAGTGTAAACAAAGAAAACACTATGTTTTAGATTCAGTTCTGCCAAACAGAAAGGAAAAGAGATTAGCTTCAAATTGCCTTCCTACATTCAGCCTTGAGTGGCGCTGTCCCAAGACCAGGAGACTGCATGGCGCATCTTAATAGAATTGTACCGAGTGTGAGCTAGTTGACTTGAATTTCTGATTTTATCTAAGTGCAGTGATTCACTGGAACATATCCTGAGTACCTAAGGATATTTGGGGATAAAAAGCAGTATCAGTAGACATGTAAAGCTCTCCTGTGATATATTTGACTCCCCACCAGGTAACAGGTGAACCTTACCTCAGAAGCAGCTCAGAATCTGACAGGGAAGTATCACCGCCACCATTCCCTCTTCAGTAAGAACAGTTTATATATTAGATTGTAGCTTAAAATTTCGTTTGGAAAAAAAGTGTTGTAATGCTTTAAAACGTATTTGGAAATCTGTTCTCAGTGAGTTGGAATTATGAGCTTTAGTTTTCCTGTCACAGGCGTATGAAACTAGGCGAGAAGGCGCTGGGAGCCAGTGCAGCTGGAGATAATTAGCCACCATCTGAGGTCAACTTAAATGGGAGGAGGAAAGCTGGAGAAGGATAGTTTTTCTGGAAACAGTGTAGCCAAGAAATGGAGCCCAAAACACAAACCCACTGCCACTGAGTCAATTCCAACTCACAGTAAGCGGATAGGACAGGGTAGAGCTGCTTTATAAGCTTTCCAGAACCGAGAATCTACGGGAGCCGGCTGCCACATCTTTCCCCCACTGCGCAGCTGGTCGGTTCAAACCCCTGCTCTTTGGTTAGCAGCCAAGCACCTTAACCACTGCACCACCAGGGCTCCCCTCAGGAAATGGAAACTGGGAAGAAAATGCCACTTTAGGGTTTACAAGTTTTGAATGGGAACTTTTCTATAGTAAACATGTTACTGCCCTCCTCTGGTATGTGGCTTTCCCACCAGTAGGTGGTGCAAGCCATTTGCTGGAGCCACTTTGGTTACAAAGGAAGTCAAGCCCCATGGGGCTGGGTGGCACATGCAGGCACTTAAGTATCTACTGTGAAAAAATCCAGCTCAGTTCTTAAGGCACATTGTAGTGGTTAGCTGGAAAGGCAACACAGCTGACATCAAGTCAGTTCTGAGCCACAGTGGCCCCATGTGTGTCAGAGCAGAGATCCTCCACAGGGTTTTCAGTGGCTGTGATCTTTCAGAAGGAGGTCACCAGACCTTTCTTCCCATGTACTTCTAGGTGGACTCAAACTGCCAACCTTTCTGTTAGCAGCTGAGTGCTTATCCGTTGTGCCACCAGGGCTCCTTTTTGGAGCTCTGGTAGCATAGTGGCTAAGACACTTTGCCTGCTAACCAGACGGCTGGCGGTTCAAACCCACCAGCCACTCCTCGGAAGGAAGGTTGGGCAATCCTACTTCCGTAGTGATACTGCCTCGGAAACCCAAGGAGGGGTCGCTATGAGTCGGGGCCGACTCGACGGCACGTAACAACAACAACAACAAGTAGTAAAATAGACTAACTGGCATTTTCTTCCCAGTTTGTATTTCCTGAAGAGAGCCTGGTGGTACAGTGGTTAAAGTGCTCGGCTGCTAACCAAAGATCAGGGGTTCGAACCAACCAGCTGCTCAGTGAGGGAAAGATGTGGCAGTCTGCTTTAGATTCACAGCTTTGGAAAGCCTACTGAGCAGTTCCACCCTGTCCTATCCAGTTACTGTGAGTCGAAATTGACTCAGTGGCAGTGGGTTTGTGTTTTGGGGTCCATTTCCTAGCTACATTGTTTCTAGAAAAAGTATCCTTCTCCAGCTCTCCCCTTCCATTAAGTTGACTTCAGATGGTAGCTAAGAGTAAAATGCATACCCAAAACATGGAATGACTCAAATACAATAGAAATTTGTTTCTAGTTGATCTAACAGTTCAGGGCAAAGGAACAGTTCAGTGGGGCAGCTGCTGAGCTCTCCTCCCCCATGTTTTTAGGAACCAAGGCTGATGGAGGTTTTGCTATCAACGCACAGTTTCCAAGGTCATCCTGAGAATCAATCACTTCCATTTTCTCAACCAGAAGGAAATGAAGTTTTCATGGGACAAGCCTGGAAGCAAATCACATCACTGGCACTCGTATTCCGTCAGCAAAACTGGTCAAATAGCCCCTGAGTACAAGGTAGCTAGGAAAGATAGCTTATGCCAGCTACCAATTCTGAATATTTTGATCAAAGATTCTGATCAAAAGGGGAAGGGGAAGGGGAAGCACAGGTTGTGATGGAACATATATATATATGAAGTTGAGCTAAAATTGCATATTCTTAAAGAATGGTATCTTAAGATAGTCCTGCATATTGCAGGATAAGAAACAATTTTACCAAAAACTAAAATTTGGTAGATGTCATTAGTGGAGCTCTTTCTGAGTCGTCATGGTTGTTGAAAAAAATCAGATTTCTGAGTATCCTTTCCTATCTCTTGGTTTTAAAATGCCTACTTATCTAAATATAATGTGGTAAGTCTGGATATGAAAAGCATAGCTCAGCTGCAGCTGTATTCCCATCTAAACCTTAGAGAATGTGCACCCATTTTATATATATATTCATAATATTCAAGGGACTTGGTTACGATAAAGAAAAATGTGAAAGACATTGTGGTTTGACCTGCATAATATTTTAAAGCCAATCTAAATTTTAATGTATCAGGGATTGCATTTGAGTGCAAGTAACCAAAAACCAACTGAACAAGGACATAAACAAGTTAGAGATTTCTTCTTTTTCCTTGAAAACACAGGTTCAGAAGTAGACATTGCTGGGATTGAGTCTACAGCTCAGGAATGTGAACAATTCTACAATAATCCTGGCCTTTTGCTCCAACCATTAGATCTGCATCCCAGAAAGGAAATAGGAGGACAAGGAGGAAGGGTCACTTTCGTGCCTAGGGCATGAAAGCAAAATTTCCCAGAAATCATGAGCAAATTTCTGCTTCTATCTTATTACCAAGAACTGCGTAGCATTGCCACCTCTAGCTTCAAGAAAGTTATTGTTAGGTAGACACATCGCTGTCCTGAACAAAATCTGGTTCTGTTAACAAGGACAGTGGATATTGGGGAGCAGTGAGCAGTGTGTGTGCCTTTCCAATTCTACCACGGTTCTTACCACTCCTTAGTAGCTAACACCCTGTCATTCATTTAAGATCTGAATCAGTTGGTCTCTACTCATCTGCTGAAGCAGCATGAGGAGAACCAGGAATCGAAGGAGGAGCTGGAATACATGTTTAACTGCCTCCATGAACAACTGCATACTTTGCCGTGAGACTAGAAGTGAATGGTGTCCCAGTTACCATTATTGAGTATTTTGATCAAAGATTCTATAGAAGAAACCTGATCAAAAGGGAGTAAAATTTGAAGCAGAACCTCAAATCCTTATAGAATCCAGACTTTTAGAGCCATTGGGGTTGGATGACTTCCTGAAACTATTGCCTTGATGTAATCTTTAACCTTAAACTGAAAATATCTCCTGAAGTCATTTTTAAACCGAACAATCTTGTTGTTGTTTTTGTTGTTGTTACATGCCATTGAGTCAGCTCCACCTCATAACGACCCTTTGTGCAACGGAACAAAACATTGCACAGTGTGCCATCCTCACAGTCCTTTCTATACCCCACTGTGTCAAGCCACCTCACTGAGGGGCTTCCCCTTTTTCACTGATACTCTACTTTAGCAAGCATGGTATCCTTCTTCAGGGAATGGGCCTTTTTGACAACATGACCAAAGTAGGTGAGATTAAGTCTGTCCATTCTTGCTTCCAAGGAGCGTTCTGGCAGCATTTCTTCCAGGACAGATTTGCTGGTTTTTCTGGCAGTCCATGGTACTTTCAGCATTCTTTGCCAACACCACAAGTCAAAAGCTTCAACTCTTCTTCAGTCTTCCTTACTCACTGGCCAGCTTTCATGTGTATATGAGGCT